TTTTTATTCTGGGATTTATTTACCTTCTATGGCTGTCACTGGAAATGAGAGCCAGCTTTAGCTATGAGGCTCTGCTCCAGCTCTGAGACCTCGGGTGCTGAAAGCAGGTATCTGGGTTTGTTTGGGTTCTATAATTGAAACTCTGTTGCAACTCCAGCTTGGCAGGCTGGCTGAAAGCATAGGGTTTGTTTAGCTTCTATAATTGCAATTGCAACATTGTTTCTTAGAGTGCAGCTCAGAGCCCAGCAGCGGCAGGCGGGGAACCTTGGCTTCCTCCTTCACTGGAGCAAGAAAGCCTCCTGTTTGCTTCAGCTGCCTGGCTGCTGGCCGCCATCTTTGTTGGCAGTTAATTTGCACATTGCCTGATTAGCCAATGGGAAGCGTGTCGGAGGTATGGTTAATTACCATGTTTGTTTATTATTAGATACGATATATATATATATATTCTCCTGACAAGCAGGCATTTTAGTTACCCATATATTTTTCCAAGACTAGATATTTTTCTATCAACTAGATAAAGTGAACTAAAGGTTCACTGTGCCAACAACAAGGAAGATGTAAGAACTACACCAAAAACAGAGTATACTGACCAGCATCAGTGTCTCAAATAATGACCAGAGAAAGGGGAGCACAGAAGCTAGTCAGTATAGGTGTTCACGCTGAATGACCAGTGAAAGAAAGGGTCCCTTTTTGAACCCCAAAAGGTACATTATTCCAATGTCTAATGATGGAGTGGTCTCATCTCTATCTGTCTCTCTCTCTCTCTCTCTCTCTCTCTCGATTGACTCTACTAGTTATAATAAACCTGTACACATTGTAATAAAATTCTGGCAAGAAATAATATGTCCTTATTAATACCAATGACAGGCCCTTCACTCCTGACTTGAAAAGGAGGCTGCTGAGAAATCACTGAGTGTGACAGAGGCCTTATTTCTAGAAGAAAAGGTCGCTCCGCCCTCCCTTTCCCTTTCCAAGGTCGCCACAGACGCCCTTACAGCCACGACCTTGTGTTCTTCCCTGAACCTATGTTGTACTGATAGAAACTTCGATTTCATCTTTGCACTGTGACCACTTCTATTTTGAGAATGTTTTTCCCTGAAAGGACTGAGAAGGAGAAACCGTTTATGTTTAGCCTTTACTCTCAGTCTGCATGACTCTCTGCTTCCACCAACAGCACACGAAAGCACTGACATGTGGAAGATGGGCTTTACAAACTTTAGTGGGAAAGATGCAAAACTCAGAAATCCCCCCCCAAAAACATTTCAAAAACTACATAAAAATCCAACGTATCTGCATAGACCAGAGAAAAGGGGGAAAGAGAAGTGACAAATTCTGAAAATTATTTGCAGCTTTTGGGACAAAGAACTCATCTCCTGAATTTAAAAATGAATCAAAAAATTACAGAAATAAATCAGCCGGCTATTCCATTTCCTAAAAGAGATGCCTATAAAAGGAAAACATTTCACAGAAAACCAGTACAGGTCAGTGTAGCCCCTGACTCCTGAGAGAAGCAAAGCCAGGACTCCCCTGGGATGGCAGTTCTTACCTGTCAGAGGGGAAGATGACAGCCCTCCCTGTCCAGGTGTCACAATGCTTGCAGCCAACACCAGGACCCCAGCATCCCAGCCACCAGCAGCTGCAGAAAGTAAGGAGCGTGTTTTTTCCAAGTCACAACAATCCGTCATGGGCAGCCTGGGATTGTGTGACATGGCTCAACCTGGGGATCAAGGACGTGCTTCTCACATCCTCCTGCTGCATCGTCCACATGGAGTATGTGTCCTCTTCACGGTCAAAATCCAGCTGCCACAAGTCCAACGTCTCCTGTCCTCCAAGCAGAGACGGGGAGAAATATATAAAATAGTAGCATAGCACAAACGTGGAGCAGTAATTCATTTTATTATTTTAAAATGGACCCTTCCCAGGGGGTTCATTTTATTGGTCAGAACTCTGTTTACTGGCCACCCTGAACTGCAAGACAGTTGGGACATCAAGTGTTTTTAACAAAGCACATTGCTACCCAGATTGAGCAGGAAGGAAGGATGATGAAATTGGGGAATTACAGGGCCTTTGAAATACCTACCACAGACTCATAAGGAAAAGAAAGAGAGAGGACACAAATCAATGAAATCAGAAATGAAAGTGGAGAATTAACAACTGATATCACAGAAATACAAAGAATTGTAAGAAAATACTATGAATAAGTATATGCCAACAAATTGAACAACGTGGGAAAAAAGGATAAATTCCTAGAGGCATACATCTTCCAAAAGTGAATCAGAAATAATCAGAAAACCAGAACAGACCACTCACAACTGATGAAATCGAAGCAGTAATTTCAAAAACCTCCCAGCATACAAAGCCCAGGTCCAGATGGCTTCCCTGGCAAATTTTACCAAACTTTTACAGAATTAACACTTATCCTCCTCAAACTATTCCAAAAAATTCAAAA